GGAATAAAACTGTTCTTAGCAATTACACAACTAAAGCACCACTTGATAGCTGATTAAGTTTGAGAAACATTTTTCTTATAAGTAATATTTACATAATTAATAATATCATTTACCCGTTTAAGTTTACAATAATATAACAAGCACTTAAGTCAACAAGCACTCAAAATACTGAACACTTTATTTATTACAATACACTTTTAACATTACATTTTCAAATAATACGTTTGTGTATAATTATTTTCCAAGAGTTTTCATGTTGACTAATGAAGAAGTAAGTAGGAATTAGGAATTGTTATCATGTGACTATTATGTTTTTGATAAGACACGGAGGTAAATTTTTTTTTTTTATACAATAATAATATTATATAAAAATCTGGCTTTTAAAAATTGTTTTTTTTTTTGACATAATATATAAAAATCATATTAATAGTCCAAAATTTAAGACTAATCTGCATATTTTATAAAACACCCTTCGGTCGCAATTCACCACATTTTACGGTACGCAATAATCAATTTCTTATCTATGATTCCTTCCGACTTTCGAGTCTAACTACAATATGTTCACTACGAAGTGTCACGTCTTGTAATCACTTAACATCTTATCATACGTCTTAAGTAATGATAACGGTAGCAATCTTAAATATTATTAAGACTTTATTTTTTACCTGCATAACATGCGATTACTCCCACTTGCGTAGCTTGACTGACAGATCAGCTAAGCTACAGCTCAAGTGGGAGTAAAACCGGCAAAATAATTATTATGCAAATAGTTTAGATAACGTTTTTGTAATTTTTATCATGTTTAGATTATTTACATTCTCTATTGAAATTTTAAGGTATTAATTTTAACCGTGATCGGTGGTGTCAGTTTTGTGGTCTGTTTGCGTTTTAAAATGACAAATTTTAAATAAAATCTAAAAAAGTCGATTGACCGACAGCTGACTTGTGATCGAGTACACGAGCACGATATAACTTAAATTGGGTAAGTACATTCACTATACTTGAGAAGTTTATCCTTCCGGTTTATAGATTGACTGCTCGCAAAGCCAGTCGTTAAGCACAATTTCAAAGAAATTCAAATTTCCATATGAATTTTATACATTGAGTGTACATACGTGTTATCGAGATAGAACGCATGTAGCTCAGTTTTAAAGTAATTTACTATTATTTCTAATAACATTTTGTGATGCCTATAGACATTAGTATATTATTAATTAGTACAAATGATTGTTACTTGCCAATCACTGTGTAAGCCGTAGCAATCAATCCGTTTTATGCAGGATTGATAACGTTATCAAGCAAAAATTTATATTATTTGTTATAACTACGTATCATCGAATGTTGATTCAAATTGTATACAGCTTGGTATTTCAATAGCTTAACCAATTTTAAACTTGTAAAAAAAAAAAATTAATTAAAAACATTTCATAGTTTTATCATGCCTTTTGAAACAATATAAAGGTTTCGTTCCAGAAAGCATGTTATCTTAACTTTAAAATGTTTTTAATTGACTTTTTTTTTACAAGTTAAACCAGTTAAACTATCAGAATATCATACTATTAATATTTTTGCTCGGTAACATTTTCAATCACTGGGCTTGTGTAACAATCTATTTCCTTTTTATTGTAAGGTTGATAAATACATTTATTTATTTTTTATTTTTTGATATACATACCAATAAATATTAAAGTGCTTTTATTAAAAAACAATTAAACTGTTACAAAATCCTAAAAAATGACTGCCAAATCCCAATATGTGCATTTTCCATTTACAGTGTATATTTTAATTTCCGATATTAGTCACGAGACATTAGTTTACGTTTTGATCTCTAGATCATCACGACTGGCATTTATATACCTTCTATCTTTTACAGTGAACGCCATCACTGATTGCTAACATAAGCTAAAATAATGTAATTCAATTATAGCTTTTAATTGTTTCAGATTTGCAATATAGTGTCAAATACACTAGTGTCAGCTGTTCATAATGTTTGACACTGAAGATGATTTAATAAATTCATCACAATTGTCTAGAGAATCTGTAAACGATGGGTTCGTGTATATTGTTCCCAAATCAACTTATGTTCCTCCCGAAATCGATGAAAATGATGAAAGTTTGTACGCAACTGGAATTCATTCTGGTATAAATTTTGAAAAATTAAACGAAGTTGAAGTGAAAATAAGCGGTAAAGATGTGCCAAAAGGAATCGAAAGCTTCGAAGCCTGTGACAACATGCAAGATATATTAATGGAAAACATTAAGAAATGTAAATTCCATAAGCCGACTCCCATACAAAAACATACTTTACCGATTATCTTGTCTGGAAGAGACTTAATGGCTGCTGCGCAAACTGGGTCTGGAAAAACGGTAAGTAAGTTATGTTAGTAATATATACAAACCATTATTACATTTAATCATCTTTTTATTTTATTTCGGGTAAAATTTGTATCTTTTATTCCTATGTTGACATAATGTACATTAAATTATTACATTAAAACATTTTTATCATAACTGTCTCAGCCAAAAGGGGTTTGAAGTTTATTATAATTCTATTTACAAATAAACATTCTTTTTGAATAATTCAATAGAACCGCTTAGGAACTATATAAACTACAACAATTGACTGTGGCCGGTTTTAGATTAGTATATTTTTCCACTACTTTCGTTATCTATCAAACATTTTACTTTTTTTAATTATACTTTTAACTTGTACCTAATGGGTATTTATTTTTAATGACATTTATTACGATTTCAACAATTGTTTAATGTCGTATCCAAATGCTACGTAACACATAAGTGGCTGATGAATATCGTTTAGTAGTTTATGACTGATCAATTAGATATTTTATCATATTTTACTGGCAAAAATCAATAATTTTTATAATTATTTATTAGTAAAATTTATTTATATTTTAAACTAACAATTTAAAATTTATATATATTTTCTAGGTAGCTTTTGTTTTACCGATTCTACAAAATTTACTTGCTAATCCTTCCAAAGTAGTCAGAGACAACAATCACAGCGAACCGCAAGTCGTTATTATGGCACCCACAAGAGAGTTGGCCGTTCAAATCAAAACTGTGGTATTGAAATTAGCTAGAGGTACAGGAATTTCTTCGTTACTGTGTTACGGTGGAACTCTCGTCCCTCACCAAAAGTCTCAAATTCTTGTAAGTATTTAAAACCCCCCCCCCAACAAAAAAGGCTTTAAATTAGTTTTTATTTTAAAATAATTACTTGCAGAGTCAAGCATGTAAAATATATCTAAATTCAATATTAAAAAAATACATGTATATTTATTACTTTATATTTAATTGTAAACAAACATTAAAGAAAAAATATTATAATATATAATATTCTATAGAATATGTAGATAATAAAATTTTGTTTGTCCCTTTTCACTTGTTTGTTTTAAATGGCAGCCCTGCACATATTATTTAACAAAATTCTACTAACATAGTTTATTATAATATTTTATTTACATTAGAGAGGTTGTCACATACTCATCGCTACGCCGGGCAGATTAAACGAATTCATACAACACGGGTTCATCTCCTTCGCATCGGTAAAAGTTTTGGTTTTGGATGAAGCCGACAAGATGTTAGACGAGGACATGAAATTTGATGTGGATAAAATTCTCGATCATTTTTCCATGCCTTCAGTCGTAAGTAGTACCTGAATCAAAGGAAACTATTATAATGATTTTAATAAACCGTTTGAACATTATTGTTTTTAGATAAAGCGACAGACTATTATGATTTCTGCAACGTTGCCCGACGTCATACAACATCTGGCGGCATCCTATTTGAATAAGAATTATTTATTTTTGGCGGTAGGCATCGTTAGTAGTGCATCGAAAGACGTCATACAGGATATTCGTCAAGTCAATAAGCTCAAAAAACGAATAACACTAATTCATGTTTTAAATGATGGTATATAGGCAAACAACAAAATTGTAAATAACCAATTAATTATGAATCCTTTTTTGTTTGAATTATTAGCTGACCGTAGCAAAGGAACTATAGTGTTTGTTAAACATAAATGGACGGCAGACTTTCTAGCCACTTATCTATGCGAAAAAAACTTTCCTTCGACAAGCATTCACGGCGATCGACTGCAAGAATATAGAGAACAATCTTTACAAGACTTTGTTTCTGGAAAGCGGAATATACTTGTCGCTACATCGGTGGCTGCACGAGGATTAGGTACGTTTTGAAAAAGAGCTCAGCACAAAAAATAATTATATAGGCCTATAGAATAACCTACCCCCATAGGATAAGTGTAGATATTGGAAGATAAGATGTAATTAGCTTAAAATTAAAAAAAAAATATCGCACTGTGAAACTATTCTCCAATATGCTGTTAACCTGTCCACATTTTTATTGTACGGTTAATTTTTTTGATTGTTTGCGCTTTATCAATCGCATGAATCGTACACTATTTTTAATAAAAATATAATTTAATTTTATGAAACATTTCAATTAATATTTGGTCAATGTGTAGATATCAAAAATGTCGGCCACGTAATCAACTTTGATTTGCCCGATACGATTGAAGAGTATGTACACCGGATCGGACGTACCGGTAGAGTTGGAAATCAAGGGAAAGCTACATCGTTTTTCGATGTCGATTACGATTACATGTTGGCACAACCGTTGATCAAGATACTAGCAATGGTATTCTCATTAAAATGTGTGTACATTTTATCATTACTCTTATCGATATTATCGTTGTTAAATTTTTAGGCCAATCAAGAGATACCTCATTGGCTAAAAACCATAGGAAAAGAAATCAACGAACAAAAACTTCCAGACGAGTGTGACCAGTTTGGAGGAACTGATATAAGACTGGTAAAGTTGACAATATTATTTAGGTTTTAATTATATTTTATTTATTTACAAAAATTTCTGTTGTAGAATTTCTCTTCATTCAACGAAGAAGAAGATTGGTAGCATGAATTTGAATTTTCAAGACTTCAATCGTTATTATTACTTTAAAATAATTTGAATACCTCGTATACATATCTAGATAACATTTGTTGTATATTTTTTATTTTTAAAATTAAAACAATCGATCGTTTAAGTATTGTGTATATATAAAAAAAACATTTTCTATAAACAAAAATATAGTTTAGTTTTAAATTATTATTATCTAAACAATAATAACTTAGCTGGGTTATTTACGTAACATCATATTTTGTCTGATTGTCCACCTAAGCCGATCGTGTTTTTTTTCACCCGGTGCTTTATGGTTGCGCCACTCCAACTGGTAAAACTGGTGAAGTGCTACAGGACCCCTTGGTCTTTTTCTTAAGATGACTGAATATTTTGAATCTGTTAAAACACCATTTAAAAACTTTATAAAACCAATGATAATATTGTAATAACTTGGTATTGGTTTTTTACAATTTTCTTCCGTTTGAACTCCTACAGACGAAACTGATTTTGAACAAGACAATCGTTCGAATACATTTTTATTTTTGTTTATACAACACCAGTTTTTACAACTTGTTTCTGGAACGGGTAGTTTCTGTTTTGCATCTATACATTTATTATTGGTTGTACTTGTCTTGACCGTTGATGTGTTTTCTTTGTCCTCGTGTTTTTTTTCATACTTAATTAATTTCTTCAGATCTAGATATCCGTCGTGCAAAATATAACAACATGTTAATTTGTATTTGGTCAATGGCGCATAATCTATGTTGAACTATACCCACGTTTACCTTTTATAAAATGTTGTAGTAAATACGGTTCAATGTTTTCATAACCTAATGCTTCCAACTGTCGTTGGACTTCGCCCGGATCGACCTCCATTAGAACAGTATTTCTGGACCAAAAAAAATTTAAATAAAATTATAAAAGCATCTAATTATAGGTAAATAATAAAAACGACGTTGAAATGAAAAGAAATAATTACCCTTGTGATTTTTGTCGAGAGCCAGTCGGTGACTTACAATTTCTGAACCCAATTTTATAAATTTCAAATACGGTTATATCAAAAACTATTAATTTGTAGTTAGTACTGAAATCCACACTTATGGAACAAAATGTCAAGTACGAAGTAACTTCTACAATTAAGTAAGTATAAAATATATTAAATGTAGTAACTAGACTGTACCTAATAGACAACAGTTGTTGCGGCCTGTGGGACGGAGATAACATTGCAAAATTGATAATGCCCAACTAGAAATGATAATATTACAAAATGTATTGTTGTTATCGATATCTGCTATGTGGTCACACTGATGCCATTCTGTTATTCGAATATCGAAAAACCAACTCTCAGTCGTGAGTCGTCAGCCGAGTTCTAACTTCTGATTTAACTTATTTCTTAACGGAGTACCCTAGAAAGGCTATTACCGTTATTGTATTATAATAATAAAATTTCATAACTTTACTACTACAAAAAAAAAAATTTAGAACTACCAATGTACTTTGGATCATTACCATTTATCATCTACTATGTAAGTATACAATGTTATACAGCCCTGAAAAATACTCTCATCGAACACTTAACGTTTCAACATAGATAGGTACTATTTTTTTAAATTTTAAGATCATTTTTAATCTACATGCAGTATAGGTAGTGACTAATCTAGGTGACCTAATAACAATATATCAACGTGGTGTGGGTTTGATCTTAATTTCATTGAAAACAATTTAAGTGTCTTTTTTTTTTTGCAGCCGTTTTAAAAATCAAATGTCTAGCAAAAGAACAGGACTTAGCACCGTATAGCCGAATAAATGATTTAACCCGAAACCCCACGTTACCAGAATTAATTTTTGATTTAAATGTTTTTTTTTTTTAATTCTAAACAATTCTGATAAACTTATTTAGGATAAATGTACATAAAATATGGGTTTACTAAATTATGTTGATAACAATGATTATTATGTAGGTTTTAAAAAAAAATATTGAATCCTCAATACTGCAAATCGTCCTATTTGTATAATACTGGCAGTAACTAATAATAGTATATCATAACTGGCCATTAACGCGAGTCATAGGTAAAGATAAACTTACCATAGTTTTCTGATAGTCAAACGATTTAATTTTACTAATTATTTCAAATACATTTCAGACCTTGAATTGAAATAGGAATAGTAAGGAAAAGGCAATCGATTATGGAAAAAGAAGGTAAGTACTGAGGTTTTATAAATTATATTATTAATTATCAAGACCGGCGTAAGACAATATTTCAACCTAGACAAACTCCAATTTTGTCACCTTTGAGATATGCCGCCCTACGAAATATATGAACTAATCATAGATTAAATTTAGGCCATTCTCACATTGGGTTTTTTTTCATATTTTCTCGATAAGAAATACTTAATCACTGAGAATACTCGTGTGGAGGGCCATTGGAGGCGCAAGATTATCTTTACAACATTCTTTTATAGATTTATAGAAATAATTATTTTAAGTTAAAAAAATTAAGACAAATTACATCAAATATTCTGTTAAATTGACATCAGGTTTAAAAAGATAAGACAAATACAATAACAATAGCACGAAAGATAAGAATAAATTATTATTATATATAAATGAATATTATTTAAATCGAAAAACGAACACAGTAATAATTAGTTGAAATAATTGTGTGTAAAAATTAGATAATTTTCCGTTTTTTTCGACTTATCAATGAAATTTTACCTCTTTCTTTTTAGTTTTTCTAAGTGTTTTTATGGAGAACCCAGTTTGAAATTTACACATTTTATTGTTTAGCTTATTTCTGCCTTACTAATTCAATGTTTTTCTTTTATTATTAATATGTTAGCCATACTCCTGAAGGGACGACCAGGGATATGCGAAAATTACTTTTACTATTTTTGTTCCCTTTGTTATTGAAGCATATTAATGATTTCAATGGACACATTTTGTTGACCTGAATAAACTATAAACGGACCTTTTAAGCTTAAATAAAAACTAATTTCATGGACACAAAACTACCATTTATGTACAATTTTCAAGATCCACTATTGAATTTTAATTTTTTTAACTTAAATAACTATTTGTTCAAAACTGTAATCGACAAGTTAACATTTTTAGCAAATTGTTTTTAAAATTTAAAAATGTTCGAAAAAAATGTAGATACCATAACGTTTAAGTTTCAAAGGCAAAAAAGTTCTAGAAAATACAAAAATATGCAAAATAAAACTTGAATATTGTGTTGTATAATAAACAAAAATTTTTTCAAAAAATTTTTATAGGCTACGCAAAACAAAGTATGCAAATTAAAAGTAAACACCGGCCTACTTATGATAATAGTTTTACAAATTTTTAAAACACAGTTCATAGAAAAGAGGAAGTTTTTTCGGAAGGTATTTCAAAATTTGATTAAAAAATCATGATTTGTAGGGGGAACAGTCATAATAAAATTTGACCGCATTAAATAATTTATTCATTATGTGACCAACTTGGGATATGCTTAACAAACTCGGCAACCAATACCGACACAATTTGAAAAAGAGAACTATTAACTACTGTTAAGACGTGTATTTCTAATAATTTTACAATTTTGTAAGTATATGGTTAGATTTTGTTAAATATTGTCTACAACCATAAACAATGCATTACATTTTGCTATATTATTGGAATTCTTTGACGACACTTAATATGGTTTTTTTAAGCAACACGGGCGACAAGCCCGTTAAACAAATAAATACCAAAAGGTGTAAAACTATTATTGTTTATCCATACACATACGTTATCTAGAAAAATACAGCACTACTTAAATGATTCCAAGTTACTGTTTAATCGCCGTGTTCCCAAATCGCGAATAATCTAAAGCTTACAACCCGTACTGTTTCTGTTTTTTTCCCACAAAATTGTCTACCAGACTAGGATAAAGATATTACTCTAAGAGCAGACATGGCTTTGTTATTTTTAGCAGCAAATTTCTCGGTAGCAACCATTGCGATTCTACATTTTTTTTTTTTGCTTAACATTTGGTCGGTTTCTAAATGAGGCATGAAACATCAGTACCGTTTGTATTCAAATACAGTGGTCAGTGGGCGATGGGAAAGAGAGAACTCAGTAGAAAAAAAAAGCTCCAGCTCCCCTCTTAAAATAGTCAGCCCATCAAAGTAGTGTTACATTGTGGCCAAGTCTTTTGTATGCCCCATTCAGAAACTGGCTAAGTGTTTCAGCAATATAAATAAAAAAATATTGTGGCTCATGAAAGTAGGAGTGAAGTGAGTTTGTGAACTAAAGAAAAGGCAGACTTGTACGCAATGTAGATATTACTACTTTGATAGACTGATTTTTTTTTTGGGGTATGGAATTTGGCCCTTTTTTCACGGTTAGGTTTTTTTGGGGATATTAATATTATATTATACGCAATAAAAATTGGCTCACAGCGATACTACTGTGTTTATTAAAATTAAAAAATGTAAACATATTTTCCGAATCGCATTATAGTAATTATCAGTGTTCTATAAAAAAAACAATTGTTAGGGAAACGGTTCATTTTACTCGTTCGTGTTGTATGTAAGACAAGATTGCAAGACGTGAAGACGAAATCAATTAATTATTTGTTGATTACTCTCATTCTCTAACCGTAAGTTGGTATCAAGAGCCTTCTAGTGGCATTATTAATTAGTTAAACTAATTAATACCTTCTCAATGAAATAAAAACTCTGTTCTTATGTGTTGAAGTTAAATAAAGTGTTTATATTTAAAAAGTTTCAAATGTTGCTTTATATTTATCACTGTACAATATTTAATGAAGTGCATCCCTGGCTCTCTTCAACTTGATATAAATATCTTTTAGCTCCGGAAGACTTATAGTGGCATACAACAACAATTTAAAGTTGGTCTGGTTTATTCTTCCTATATTGTTATCTACAACTAACATTTTGAAATATACTAGATTAAAATTAATAAAATATTAAAATAGTTATATTCACCTTAGACTAATTCCTTATAGGTAACCATTAATTTTTAAAAACCTGTGAATTCCCCGTTACCCATATACTCCATCCCCTCTATGATCTGACCCCACTGAGCACTGTCCTCTTATTATTTTTGTTTTTTTACATTATTTTAGAAGAATCTAACATTTCAAAATGTTAAGTAATATTTGTAAAAGGATGTTACATTATGTATTGTAGATATATACATTTTTGTTGGCATAATTATTTTGTAAAACTAATTGAACTACCAAACATTTTTGTGAAAGAAAACCAAATCAAAAAACATACATTTACTTAACCCCAACTCTATTTTATCTTCTAATAAATAAATTATACAGTTTTGTAAAAATATTTCCGTTGTATCTATATCGGCTAAAATTTTTTAACAGAACGTCAACGTGTTTTTTTTTTATTACATCTGAAGTTTTAAAAAAAATACAGAATTTCCCAATTTTCTCTTGTATGAAATAAAAAATGCACATTAATAAAATTATAGAAGTTGAACTATGATAATATGGTATAGATTCGGCTGAAAAATATCAGTTTTCAACATTTTTAATGGGAATGGGTTGTAGATAGAATTATACTACACAAGAATCGTATGTATTGTAAGTCACTCAGAATAAGTGCAAAACTCACCTTACCCGATTGGCCTACTGTCAAGAAGGAGGAGGGCTTAGCACTTGCTATTATTGAGTATTAATGTGAGATACTACTTTGTTTTAATGCACTTGGAAACCTTCATAGGAATAACGTTGTACCCCGGCTTATAAAATGTAAAATTATGTCCACGCAAAATACAAAAAAAAGTATGTAAGATACAATAAATTATTATTTTAAAATCCAGCGACTCTCTCTATAACACTAAAGATGGAAACATCCGCATTTCAGCCCAATCTTTATAGTTTGTGTAGTAATCAAATGGTAAATAAAATACTGAATACATAAAATCATAGTTACAGATTAACCCTCGATGTTCTTTTAACCAGCCAGATATGTTTTCGCGGTGTGTACCGAATATGTTATGGGCCAAACGTCTAATAGGAATGGATCCGTTTTTCTTGTTGTCCGAAATATCCCATATTGCATCTATCACCTGAAATATTTTTAAGGCTTTCGTTAAATTTGAATTAACAAAATTCTATGAAATTGAGTTTTAACCATCATAACTTATCGACCATAAATAAACAATATCGACAATAAATATAATATGTACTTTAGAGGATTGGATATCGATTAAATCTAAAAAAATCTAGATAAAAAATATATTTTTTTTAATCGAAAATTTAAGTCAGTATTGTAAATGTTTTTGATTCTGAAACAAGGTAAAATAACAAGGTAAATCTTACGAAAATATTGTTTTCACAAAATAAGTGTTTTCCCATTATGAATGAGCTAATGTTGTTGTTAAAGCAAATCGTAAATAACTGTAACTTAAAAATTAAAAGTATAAACTTAATACTATATCGATGGCAAACATTTCCTAATGCTACTTTTTTTTTAGGTTCAATATAGTGGTGTACCCATTAAACATTTATGAAAAGCCGTGCTGGCTTTTGGTTTGGACTGTGCTATCCAAACCAAAAGTATTAGGAAAGTGAGAAGTAATCAACGTTTTTAAGCTAAATGTTTATTAATTATTGAGTTATTTATTTATTTAAACTATTAAACACAAATAGTTACACTATTTGAAAATATTAGTAATATAAATGTTTAATCATTCATGTTTATTGATAAATTAAAAAAATAATTTACTACAAATAATTTACCAATCAATTGTAGCAAATTTTTTTTTAAATGTCAAATACTTTGAAAACAACCGAAAGTTAACTACAATTTTAAACAATGTTAAACAGCTTTAATTTTTGCTTAAAATGAAAAACGTGTGCCCTATTCAACAAAGTCCCTAATAAATTTATCAGATAAAATTTCATATAATTTTTTTTTGTAATTTAAATTTGGTTCACTTTTACTGTGTGACACATACATTTCATAATTCTTAACTCATGAATTTGGACTTTGTTGAATAAGGCTCACGCTTTTCTTTTTAGTAAGAAATTAAAGATGTTTAACATTATTCAAAATTGTAGTTAATTTTCGGTTGTTTTCAAAGTAATTGACATTTTTAAAAAAATGTGCTAAAATTAATTGTTAAATTGTTTTTGTTGTAAACTTATTTTTTACTTTTTGGTTCACTTTTTACTATTTTTTTTTTTAGAAAACCATGTTTTTAAAAAAGTTGTTTTTTTATTAATTTATTTTATTTTTTACTTTTTAGTCTTGGTAAAGGTACTTAATAATTGTGAATAGATTACTAAATTAATTTTGTAAGATTTAAAAACACATGGAATTTTAATGAAATGATCCCCATTTTCGACCCAATGGCATTTGGGACCTGGATGTCCGGGTCCTAATATGATGCCGGAACATTGTATTTTCATCCAAAATGGGTGTCTGGGTTAAATTCCAGCCTTCTACGATATTGGGAAGTAGGTTAATTTAATTTTGTAAGATTTGAGAAAAACGTGAAATTTTAGTAAAATGACCCCCAACATAGTCATGGGTGATCTGGATGTCCGAGTCCCAATATTATTACAGGATATTGTATTGTCGTTGAGATGAGTGTCTGTGCCCAGTTTCAGCCCTCTACGACACTGGGAAGGGGGTTCAATTAATTTTGTAAGATTTGAAAAACACCCGTACGTGTTAGCGATTTAAAGAAAATCATGTAATTATTCTTACCAGATCAGTTTCCTCTTCAACGTCATTGTCAAATAGAGCTTCGATCAGATCTAATTCGTTTTGTCTTGTCTGACAATCAGTAATAGTTACCTAAACATACAGTTGACAGTTAATAAGTCAATTAATAATAATAATTGTGTTGAATCATTTAAAATAAGAGTTTTGGTAGCATCGATACTCTATCTTTCCTACGGCAAGCCGTTTAATAGTTTCATTGCGATAGCTGAGAAGGTATTTCAAATTGTTTTTTTTATTTCAATGCACAAAAAGGAATGAACTTGATTTTTTATTACTTACTTTCAGTCTAACCTCATAATTTGTCTGTTATTAAAATTTCAACCTAAGTTTTACGACATATTCAGTGTGTTTGAATAATAATTGTCAAAAATGTATTTCAAAAAGAGTTTTCTTCTTTTTTTTTTTTTGTTAACTAGAATATTTCTGTCATAAGGGAATTATCGTTCATAATCTATTAAAGTATATAAAAAAAAATATACTTTGAAAATCTCCATATTTTTCTTAAAGAATATTACAAGTTGACATAGGATAATTGGGACGGAGAGTTTTCAGATCTTCAAGATTTAGTATAATTGAGAGTGATTAAATAATTATTGTGTAATCATTTTATTTAGTTTTCTTCAAAAAAAGAAATTACTGCCCCGGATTCTTTTTGAGTCGAGTTGAGTTGAGAATATTTAGATGAGCATTTAAACTAGAAGGTTAGAAAATTCATAGTACATGTAAAAAACAAAACTGGTTACCTGTTCAGCCATCTCTTCAAACAATTCATCTGTTTTTTCTGTCTGAAAATTATTTATAAATACAAAACACAAAACAATTAGATATTTCGCCTTCATTTTTCTCTACTAGTTCAACAATTTAAATTGCGCCTTTCTATTTAAAATCACAACAAAACTGTTTACCTGTTCAGACTTCTCTTCATCAGATCCGTCTGATTTTACTGTCTGACAATTATTAATAAGTATAATAAAAAGCATAACAATTAGATATTTTGCCTTCATTTTTCTTTACAAGTTGAAAAATTTAAACTGTGCCTTTTGTAACAAAATAATAAATGTACCATTTTCATACTATGCAGTGGCTAGTGTGCAGAATACTCAAACGAACTGTGGTTTACACATATGGTAATAATGTTTTTTTTTTTTTGTTAGCTGTAATAACAAATAGTATGTATTCAAGAATATGTTCAAAAGTATGATTCAAACAAGATTTTTTTGGCAACACAAACTGTTTGCTCAAAACAAATAATACAGTATAGTATGACGCATGTATAATATAGAGTACCTATGGCGTTTCGTTGATTTTTTTAGAAAACCGACCGCAAATTTCTTAAAGAACTAACTGCTGGTTTTGGGCAAACATAGCTTGAAAATCCTAAGTATCCATTAAGTCACAAACCATTCAAAACTTTTTTCTTGAGTTTTTGGAAAATTTACACTGATTTTAGAATTCTGAAGTTTACTTATATTATATACTTGGACATATATTGTAAGCAAACTAGAATTCTTTGAATATTTCCTTAAAATATAACCATAATAAGCTGTTCGTTCGTGATCAACCTTGAATAACATACATAATATAATATAGGGTGATTTTTTTTTATCACGAGTCACTCAATATCTCATAGGGCTAAATAAGAAATTACATTTTTTTTTTCATATTGTTTTTATACAATGTAATCTCAATTTTCCACAATTTTCATTTGTTTTTACCCCTTCCTAACTTAGTTTTATTAATATCAACTTTTGAAACTTAAATGGTAACGCATATATTTCTTAAATTAAGAATAATGCATTATAAATTATGACTGGTCGACAACCAGTTTGGGATAACTATTTTTAATGTTATAAGAATTTTAAAGTTAGGATTGGAGGGAAAGTGCGGTGGGGAAATGCGCGCAGATAAAACTGATTTCGTAGTCATCATAGTGTTGGTAGCAATTGTAATTTATAGAAAAATGTAATTTAAACTTCCAATCCACTTATCAAAAAGAATATTATAAATCAAATCTAAGAGTAACCATAGTAATATTATATTCTTCACTATATGTCCCTATAGTCTATATTATTCATTTTGTGCGATATTCTTGTGAAAGATTCAGCAATATTATTGTCTTCATTTCAATTATTACTTTATAGACGTCGAAATATCTCTACAGAAATGGCTCAAACCGGAAGTGTTGCCAGTAAATTACAAACCTTCCCAGAAGAAAACATTGGTAAGTGCACATATTGAACGTTTATTTTTTAAAGGGCGTGTACCAGTTACTAAAAGTTTTTAAAAAAAATGTATGTAATAGATATGTTTGCTGCTACTAGCGTGTTACAACAACAAGCGGCAGAAATAAGAAATTTAAAATTAAATTGGGCGTCTTATTTGAAGTATAATGTCTTAAAAATAATTATTTTCGCCATTGTATCGGCCATAATAAAATAATATTTGTTTTTAATAGGTCACAAATTATATCGCAAGAAGTGTTCAATTTTATTAGTACCTACGACGCTAGTAGAAATAGAGGCCAAATTTTAAATAATAACCGTGCACAAGCAGCTGAAGCGTTCTTTGGTTTGTTAGAACATATATCTAAAGAATCGACTATACAATATGTGCTCGTTTTGATTGATGATTTACTTACAGTAATTCTATTATAAATGCCATAAGTCATTACGCTTATCTCTTATTACAATTTGCCTAAATATTAGTTGAAGGGGCACTTTATTGAATGTAAACTTCATATTTTAAAGTACGTCAATGATACTTATTTTCACATAAAACAAATACACATAATCTTATTTAATATTTTATTTCAATATATGCGCTAGTAATTTTAACTTCATAGTTATAGTTAAAATAAATAAAATGTTGCAAACAAGTAGTTTAATGGTAGATAATTAAAACCGCTCTGAGCATAAGCAACGGCAATACCATTTGTTATAGAAATACTATATTTTATCATGTTTTTAGGAAGAAAATTCACGAGCAGAAATATTTCACGAATATGCTCTGCGGAGAAATGAACCGGTGTGTAAGAACTTTTTGAACTTGTTGAATGCTGCTGATGGTTTTATTAACAATATGTCAGCACGTATATTAGCTAAAGTTGCTTGCTACTCGACGGATTACATTAGTAAAACTGATCTCCAGTTTTATTTGAACTGGATTAAGGAGCAGCTGTTGTCGACTGTAAGCATATTGTAAAATTTGTTTTTGTTTTTTCATAAAAATTATTTCAAAATAAAATACTTTAACTATCCGTGGGGTGTTTTAGAATAATGAGTACATGCAATCGGTTGCGCGTTGTTTACAAATGTTGTTACGCCGTGATGAATACAGAACTGAGTTTATTTCAGTTGATGGCATGCCGGCTGTGATAAGTGTATTGTCTGGACGGGTTAACTTCCAGATACAATATCAATTGATCTTCTGTGTTTGGGTCATGACGTTCAATCCTCGTTTGGCTGGACAAATAAACGAGTAAAATAACTACTAAAAGGGAAATTTTCATAGATATATGATGATGGGGCACAGGGAAAAAACGGTAGTTGTCATATTATGAACATTTTTTTTTTCAAATAGTTTTTTTCAATTTATGCCAATAACTTTTTTTATTTATGTCAATAGATTGTTTAAATAAATACATTTATTATTAGAGTAGCATTTAATGTGATTTGTTTTGTTCTTATGTAAGAGGTAGAGGATTTCACGAACTTTGTTTTTGCTATACTCTAAAATTTTCATAATGGGACAACTACCGTTTTTCCCCTGTGCCCTTCATATATAATTCATATAATTTTACATTAACTAATAATAAATGTCAATCCAAAACACATTAAAATAAGCATTTTTCAACGAGTTTAAATTTTGTTTATGTAACAAAAAGTCAAAACTTTTTCAAACAAACAAAAATCTTTAAAAATTAAGTTATCTGTCAAAAATTACTATTGTAAAATTTAACATATGTGCATATCTTATCCCATATTAGATGAATTAAACAAAAATGTTACTTATGGTCTTCATAATGTAAATCATTTTCAGATTTAATGTTATTCCGATATTGGCAGACATTTTAGGCGATTCTGCCAAAGAGAAGGTCACCAGAATTATTCTTGCGGTTTTCAGAGTAATATTTAACATATGAACCACATAGTCTCTTTTATAACGATCATTGTTGTTTAGAACCTACTAGAAAAGCCGGAGGACAGCTCTACTTCCAAAGAACATTGTAGCGTTATGGTCCAATGTGAAGTATTAAAACAACTGAGTATTCTTGAACAGAGAAATTTTAATGACGAGGACATAGTTGAGGACATTCAGTTCTTGAACGAGCGACTCCAAGCCTCGGTAAAAGATTTGAGGTAAAATCAAACTAAAAAATAATTTTACTACAGCTGTTGTAGGTAGTGATATCATAATCACTTTATTTTTTTTTTTTAAATTAACTAGCTCATTTGATGAATATGCCACTGAAGTAAAATCTGGCCGTTTAAAATGGAGTCCCGTTCATAGATCTACACAGTTCTGGCGTGAAAATGCATCGCGTCTCAATGAACGGAATTATGAACTGTTGCGCAATTTAGTAAATTTGTTGGAAACGAGTCGAGATCCATTGGTTTTAAGTGTAGCTAGCTTTGACATTGGCGAGTATGTCCGTCATTATCCTCGTGGAAAACAGTAAGAATTATAAAAAAAATCGTCTCGATATTCTGATTTGTATTTTAATTTTAATAAAGTGTAGTTGAACAACTCGGAGGAAAACAACTCGTGATGCAGCTGTTGTCTCATGAGGATGCCGATGTGCGTTTCGAAGCTTTATTGGCTGTTCAAAAGCTTATGGTTCATAATTGGTATGTTATTAGATTATTAATTTGTTATACACAACATGTGTTTAATCACAAGCTGTCATAGAAAAAAAAACACAAATATTTCATTACTATTATTTCTAGGGAATACCTTGGACGTCAGTTAGAAAAAGAACAAAGTACCGGAAAGACTTAAAAATCTAACATGTTCTTTAATGCCGTGTGTTCATATAAACTCGACTTGAAGTCTCAGTTCGTCCCTGTATTATTTGTTAGTAGTTATGTAGTTATACAAATACAAAATACATTAACCATACATAGTTGAATTAAAATAGACAATTGGCCAAATATTTAAATATCAAATACAAAATAGCCTAAGTAGGTATCTTAAAATGTTTTTCACTATTCTTTTTTAAACTAAATTATGAGTTTGGCACAGTTTACTCATAATTCAAAAGTATTACAGATTTTAGAAATTTAGGTCTAGTGTAAATTGTATTGTATAAAATGCACTATATTAGTATTAGGCCAAATTAATTTGATCTTTATTAATATATAAAAGCTACATTAGTATTGAACATGGCCGGTAATATTTTTAACTCAATCGCTTCAATCTTCGTATTTCTTTTAAATCTGTAAATTACTTAATCCTTCACGGCACTAACTCCGAAAATGTCGAAAAAATCATCATTTTAAAATACGGCCTAACTGAGGTGTACAAAAATACGTTTCTGAAAACAATTAATTTCAATGTAATGTGTTTGAGAATCATTTAGCCTTATCAAATATGTACTCAGGGTGCTTGATTTAATGCAAGACACTCATCATTTTACTACAGTTGTAGATTTAGTGCTTATGGTAACATATCCTAATCTTAAAGATCGAACAATTTTGGGAAAATTTTTTAAAATATTGTCTACAACTACAAAAGAAAACCGTGTTTTATAAAAATATTCTTTCCATTCTCCGACGATACTAACACGGGTTGGTTTACTTAGGTACACTTTAAACGGAGTGCCATTTTCGGTATACCTACAATATATACAGTGAGACGCAGACACTTGAACAGAAGTAATTGTCAATTAAAATAAAATTAAGGAAATTGCATTAATTGTTAATTCAAGAGGTACATATGAATAGCTATTCCCGCAAGTACGGGATTGACTGGTCGTAAATATTTAATAAGTAAAATTTGGTTTATGATTTTAAACTGTACAAGTAAATATACGTTTCAGGAGTAGCAAATGTGTACATATTTTGTTTTGTTTTGAGTGATTCAAGCTTGTATTTTCGTGTACATGATTAAGGATTGCTACAAAAGTTAATAAAAATATCAACTTACAAAGTATTGGAGATATAACATCTGTAAGCATGTTTTAAGTATTTGTTTATAATAGAATTTTTTAAATTTTTTATAAATTATGATTATAGTTACAAATGTTCTTATATAGAAACAAAATTCCAATTGTACAAATATGAAACGTGTGCTCTGAATTTACATGAGCGTTTTATTGCAAATAACATTGTCTTGCACCAGTCTTTAATAAAACTGTTTCTACGTAGTCTAAATTACAATTATTGCTAAGTAATGTATATTGTACGTGATTATTTTTGCATTAGTCATAAGTCTAATTATAATTTAAAAAATAAACTTCCTTGGCAAACGATGCCTTTATGTTATCTGCTCATTGTTAAAGTGGTTTGCTTAAATTTACTTGAATCAACAATATTGTTAAAAAATGTTCAGAACCCCAGTTAGTGTTTGATGAAAATAATGATATTTTATGTAAAATTTAAAGAAAAAAAACACTTATTCACATATGACGGCTCGTCTATGATAGCCGTTCAAACCAGCTCTAAAGTGTTGTATTATTATTATTATTGCTTTTAATCAAGTTGTAGGTAATGATCAAAAAGGTTTAGAAAAACCCGATTTAAGTTTTTACAGTTTTTCAAACAGTATGTTTGTTTATGCAATCAATGAATTTCATATGGTGTTATGGAGGTGTTTATGTATACACCTTTGTTTGAATTTTTCGAGATAATTCAATTATAACAAAGTTATTTTATACTATATGTGGTGAGAACTGAATAGCGGTAAAATGCGTTAATTTTTTTGCAACGAAATGAATTTCCTTTGTAAACTATGCATATATGTCACCTGATCTTAAGCGATTACTTTTAGCTTTGATGCGGAGCTGAGAAGGTATTGTGTTTTTTTATTTTTGTGTCTGAACTCACGATATCTCGTAAACCGCTGAACCGATTTCTTCGTGTAGCAACTATTGATCAGAAGTCATACCTGGAAGGTACTTTATTAGGCCAAAAATTATAAAAAGTCACCCCTTCACCACCAAAATCGAGAAAAACACCCAAAGAATTCACAATTTATTCAACTTAAAATCACGATGCTCTATAACTTTTTTAAAAATAGTCCAAAAAAATTCCAAATTTATATGAATTGTTCTTCAAACCTAGTACTATCCATAAACATTAACAAACCAAAAAAATATCATAAACCATTCCCCCTAGAAGGGATATAATTTTTTTCTTTATTTCACTTTTTCAAGCAAAGTTTTAGAGATTTAGATCTGAAAATTATACCGAAGTTAGATCTAAAATAGAACTATAACATATACAGTTTTCTCAAAAATCTGCAGTCAAATTTTAGACTGTTAATTTTGCTTTAATATTAAATTTTAAGTACATTATTGCTAGTCCCACGATATCTTCTAAACCCCTATAACTGGTTTGAATATACTATCCATAGATTCGCATCTAAGCGTTTATTTAAAAGTGATTTTATCACTATCAGTTATAATAAAATCTGTGGACCTGTGACCTCTCCGTCCCCACTATGCCCCGACCCCACTGTACTGGCTTTTTTTGTTTAAATTTACTCAAGAATCAATAATATTAATGAAAAATGTATTGTTTATCAAGCTTTAAGTGGTTTACATATACTTAGTAATTAGTATCATTATTTTCGTTAATGTTTGTATATCGTTTCCTTGAATAAACAATCCGATTGCAAACTCTTTTGCAATATCTTAAAAGTTTCTTTCTGGAAGTTATCTAATTAAGTTGCATTTTTTCCAATGCATGATTATCCAAGTTGTATAATCAAGTTGTCCATGGAACGGGAATCATTCGTCAAGTAATTTAAATCCAATTTGCTTATAATTACGAATGTCGAGTAAGAGTGCTCACAGGGAGGGGCAGGGGATGGCAACTCCCCTTTCTCTATAAGTTAAAAAAAGTATATCCGATATTACAATTTTGTATAATTTATTACCAAATCATAGGAGGTCCTCACTGAATTTTCACGTGCGGACTTGCTTTTCAACAGCACTGTATTCTATTTAAGTCCATTGGTGATCTAGTAAATATTAGATCACTGATAGGAAGTTTCAATGTTTATCAACTACTCGGACAGATCATATTCTTTAGTTTCGTCAACAAAATATGAAAAAAAAAATGCCCACGTTGATCCCATCATTGACCTGGTTTTGGGGAAATATGCCATAGTCACTATCATATTTTTAGCCCAGTTGTGAAAGGAATTCGATCTAGTAAACTCTACCAAGTCGTCGGGCTTGTTGATTAAAAAGAATTTACTCAAATGGACTTGTATAATCGCGTGTACATCTCATCTTAAAATTTTTTCAAACATTTGTTAAATGCGTAAACGTACTACTTGTGTAAGCAAAAAAATTGTTTGGTAAAAGCATATTATGTTGCCTTAAACTCAGTTTGTAGTGTACGAATTTTAAAATCTTATTTATACTAATACAATATCATATTCACTCAAGTCCCAAATATTACGTACACTATGCATTTATTATTCCTAATTTTATTTTGTACACTACTACTACTAATTAATTATCTACGATTTTTGTAACCAAATATTTTTATTTTTGGAAATATTGGAGGTATTTGGACTTATGTTCCCATAATAATTTAGTTCACATAGCTGCCTATAAATCGACTGCCCCAACGAAAAGGGTCGTATCTCGTTTTTTGCAACTTTTCAGGATGAACCAAACAAACATTCAAATTTAAATTCTTATTCTTTTTTTAACATATCAGTTTGAAAAAAGAATAAGAATTTAAATTTGAATCTTTGTTTGGTTCATCCTTAAAAGTTGCTAAAAACGAGTACGACCCTTTTCGTTGGGGCATTCGAAATGTATTATGGTTAGGATAGTTTTCAAGGAAATCTTATTGCCCCGAACAAGAATTACCTTGAATCTGATTTTCAGATCTCCAGTCCTAAAACTTCAAAATTAAGAGAAAGTTCCATCCCTTAAAGGGGGAAAAGGGTTTATGATAATGTTTGTAGTTTTTCAACGTTTTTATATGTAATTTGGAACTAATAAGATTGTTTTCTAAAATATATTTACAATCTGTAATATTAGGTAGAATGAGTAAATTTGAAGAAAATTATACAATGACAGGACGACATGATAGAAGGGGTTGTCCAGTAACACTACTTCAAGCTAATAAGTTATAGTAATTTTAAGTTGAAAAATGTTTTTGTGTTTAATGTCATCAATCCATTTGTTTTTCATATTAGCTTATTGCTTAGTTTAGAAGTAAAATATTCAGTTATATTTTGTTCGTTTTATTTTTTTATGATACATAGCCATAGTCTACATATGCCACAGCTGTTTGTGTTGAAAACAAATGTTTTTTAAAACATATATTGTTATGATGTTTGTGTAGGTACCTATACAAATGTTTGACCTATTTTCTTGCGTGGCCGTAGAACTCTGATGTTCCAATAATTATAGCGAATAACTATTTTGTACATTAAGGTATAATATTATTTTGTTAAATTGTCATAATGTAAACATTTATAATTATTACATAATATTACATTTAATTTGATTGTGTGGAAAATGTAATTATATGTAATACCTTTTTTAGAAAAATAACATTGAGCCAAGCCACCCCATACCTAAAACTTTTAATTAGTTCTTTAGTATTAGTATCTGAGCTGTCTTGAATAGATTTTAGTAGTTTTCGAATATTTTACAAGATTTACGTAAGTGAAAAAACATTTTTTAAAATTTGAATAATGGTTTTTGGTACAAAATTTTTATTCGCTATAATAGTCGTTACAATATGGTACTATCATGCAAGCAAAGTGAAACGATCAGAAACACAAATAATGAAACAACATATGGCCAAATAAACAACTCGTTTTTCTTAAAAAAAAAAAAAAAAACAATAAAACTTATATTTGTAAAGTACAA